ATATATATATATATTGATTTATTTATCTATACATAGGCACAAACATATGCATATACGTGTATGTATATATATATATACATAGATATAATGCGTCTGTGTGCTGTATTCTGGCATGTACACATGTATGCGTGCATATACTTCTAGGCAGGAAGACGCATCTCTTTCAACTCCATTGCACTTTGCTGGCTTTCACTAGAATTGCCGTTAACGCAGATGTAGTACGACTATAATGCTAATTGTCAGTATTCATCATGTGCGTGGTACTGTTGCTGCTGCCGTTCACAATTGTGGCGCCTACCACCCATTCCATGTATGACCCTTTCTCCAAACGAATGCAGCGGTCGTGAACCTATAGGTCCATGAGAACGTGTGTTTCCACAGTATACACTGACCCACGAAAACGCCAACATACAGATGTACATGTAAACACGTATATGTATATATATACATATATATATATATATAGGTATATCTACATATACAGATACATGTGTATATATATATACATAGTAAATATGCATAGGTACATCTAGGCGTCTATGCATCTGTACATGGGTACATATCTATCCATCTATCCATCTATCTGTCTATCTATCTGTCTATCTATCTATTATGCACACACGCACACGCAGGTACATATGTACATATGCTTTGCTTTTATATGTATTCAAGAGAGAACCACACAAGCCGACGTCTGTCTACCTATCCGATCCTATCTGTTCTCTCTTTCAGCGCGCGGCGCGGGTGACCCGGCAGAACTGGCGTTCGTGCTCGGGCCCACCACGGGAGAGCGAGTCAAGCCTGGCTGTATGATCTGTTGTGTTGTGCCTAGATATATGACTACCGTAGTTGCATGGTACCTACTATGTTACTATGATATCGTGACCGTGGTTTTGAAAGACTTCTTCAAAGTGATCTCGGTCACGGTTGATCCCGGCAGCTGATAAAATTGCCGCTGTTATGTTATCTTTGAAACTATGGCCAACCCTGGTTGTTCGACTAAGCAAATAAGCAGACATGCCACTTTCACGCGACCTTCAACAAATTCTAGGCTGGCTGTTCAGAAGAGCAAGCGTCGCGCTCTCAAGACCAGATATGCGGTGTCCTGCCCCGCCTGAATGAGAGTGGGAGCCTCCAAAAGTTGATCCTGGAGGAGGTTCCAGAAATGCTCAAAGGCAGCGTGCAGTACGCTTTCAACTGCCAATCCCCGAGTCTGGGCCTGCGGAGCTCAGAGCTGCTCCAGCCTAGGTCGACGGAGGGAGTGCGCTAATCTGAAATCTTGCTGCCTACAATGTTACAAGCACGGCGGTTGCCAATCAGCTGAACTATATGAGGAGAAATCTTGACACTGTTGTTCCGTGAAGGGGACAAGTTTTCAGCCCAAGAGAGTGCAATATGCAGAGATGCATCGAGGCACCAGAGGTGGGACTCGACGAGAGGCTTTTCACGCTAATGGACAAAAACTAGGTGTGGAGTTCATCCGGAGATCTACTAAGAGTTGCCCAAGCTTCTCCGGCACATGCCGTAGCCTTAACGCAGGCAAGTCCTTCACAAAGGCTCGGGCATCTCCGAGTGTGCCGGGAACGAAATCTTTCCTCAGAGTCTCCACCACTGGCATGTGCGACTCCGGACCAACCGAGGACCTAGTCCTACAGTATCTCACTTGGCCAGCACAATCTTCCGACTACAGGCAAGAATAGTGTCAGCAGTGCTGCACCTGTGGCAGGGTTGGGCATTGGCTAGGGTATCTACAGTAGGGTCTGTGCTGCTGCTCCAGCTCAGAAAGCGGCGCGGAAGTCTTCCAACTCCACTCTCCGGCAAGTCCCGAGGAGTCTGAGCCTCGGAATGCAAGACACTGCACCTAATAAAAGCAATAGTGATTATAATAATAGTAGTAGTAGTAGT